GCCTGGCTTCCAGTTTGCTTCCTTGGAGGAGGCAGCCTGTGGCAGCCGAGCAATGGGCCCAGCGCTTGCGGTGCCTGACTCTGGCGGTGCCTGACTCTGGCGATGTCAAAGGCTCGTCATTAGCGCCCTTTGTGCTGCCAATGCCACCACACAATGACAGCCCCCCCGGCCCATGCAGCCAGCTGACCCAGGTACCGGAAAACACAGAGCCGTGGCCTGCCGTGCTCCGTACAATGGCTTCTGGTGGCTGCCATGCGACAGCTGCTCCTAGAAGGTGACTGTGCCCTGAGGGTGGCCATGACTCCTGGGTTTAAGGTCAAATTTCACACTTTAAGAAAGTTTTACAAAGAGACTTTGGACCCTTGCTGCCCCCTTCACGCATCACAAAGGCGAGATGCCTGATCAAGGGTCTGCAGCAGCCCCACGCCCCCCCAGAAGCCCAGAATCTGCCTTCAAGACCCCAAGGCTGTGCAGGAGGCTCCTGAGTGGGGGTCCTCCGCACGCTGGCACTGCAGCCACCTTTGGGGCTCATGGCTCCCTACACCCCTTTGCCTACAGTTTTCAGTATAAAGACCTGTTCCTCTCAAAGTATCAAACAATGGGGTGAAGGGCAAGTCCGAGGCTTCCCAAAGTGACAGGTGGGTGCAGCGCTCTGCCTGCAATCTCCAGCAGCACAGGGCGAGTCCTGCTGGCTCCTAAATCTCAAACAGCACCTCCGGCGGGCAGGACACTCAGTGTCCGCCTCCGCTGAGCCAGGCCATGGGGCCCACGCTGCCGGCACGGGGTCTTCGCCAACCTGATGCACACAGCGAGCTCCTAACACTTTCCGAATTTCGGTTGCTAACCACGCTTGGGACTGTCACCTCCACGGGGCCCAACTCTTAGCCCGGATGGGAGTAACAGCTAACACAGCTGGTCCATCCAAGATTGAAGGAGAGACCCCCAGAGAGGCAGAGCAGAGTGAAGACAGCATTGCTACTATCTGGAGCATCCCGAGACAATGCACTGCCTCTAATGATTCTGTGCGGAAGGCTGTCTTTCTGTTTCTTTCCACCAACCACACATCCGAGCTTGACAACTGATCAGGTTTTTAAGAAATTCAGACGCACACTTCTGAGTGTGAGGTGAGACCCTGCAGCTTCTGTCACACAGAGTGAGCACCAGAGGCAGCAGGAGCTGGCCGGGCTCTGGGCAGCAGTCAGTGGAGGGGAAGAGGCGAAGGCTTATGGCTATGTGGCCGCACTCCAATACGGAGATTAAAACATGCTACAGAGAAAGAGCGAGAGAGAGAGAGAAGGAGAGCAAGAAAGCGAGAGAGAAAGAGAGAGCAAGAGAGAAAGAAAGCAAGAGAGAAAGAGAAAGAGAGAAAGAGCAAGAGAGCAAGAGAAAGAGAGAAAGAAACAGAGAGAGAAAGAAAGAAAGAGAGAGAAAGAGAGAGAGAAAGAGAAAGAGAAAGAGAAAGAGAAAGAGAAAGAGAGAAAGAAAGAAAGAAAGAAGCGCACACAGCTGCTGTCTGTCCCCCAAACAGACCTCCCATCTGCCGCCCACGATTTGCATGTCACCTTCTCGGGGCTCATTTGTACTTCATTAACTGCCATTGACTTAACAAGATTTATGCAAATGACACCGCAGGAGCTCCCTAACTCCCACTGCAATCAAGTGATTATGCATGTACAACTCTCCACAGCAAGCCCACTTGCCGCTGAGCCGGGCCTCTTGCTTTTATTTTTCTTGCTCTGCTTTTTAATTTTTATTTGAATAGACCTTATCTTGTTAGTAAGAAGAGACACAGAACTCTCCGAACCAATTGCACCCAGGACCCTGGGAGGGAAGAAAAATGTGAGGCAGACACAGGTCCATAAGACATGAACTTATGCTCTGGGACACAAGTCATATTCTCAGTGAGAAATCTCTAATTGGGGGAGAAAAAGAAATGAAGTCATGGACAACCATGATTCCGCTAGGTCCCATACTGCGGGTAAAAACCCTGGTTCTCAAAGAAATGAGCTGTAGAATGTCGGGGGAAATGGTCAAAACGATCCACGGTCACTGTACGATCTGTATGAGCATGAGTTAATAATGGGGAGCAAGGACCCCCACATCTGAGTCTTGAACATCAGCGTCCGGTCCAAGCGGTGTGGGGGTACAGAGAGGGGGTTGGGGAGAAGAGTCAGCCACGATCAAAGCAACTGCATGAGTCGGCCTACGAGTTTCTATAGCGATTCCTCTGCCCAGCAGTGAAGGGCGCAGTAGCTAGTGCATGACTCCAACATGGACCAACTCTTGAGTGCAGGCTGATATTGGGACAAATACTCTCCTGCCAGCCCGGATGAGCAGAGTGCTCGGTGGCCCGAGAGCAGGCGAGGGGGCTGCTGTTCTGGGGAAGCGCGCTGCTGCAGGCGCCCTCTTAACAGGTTTCTTCCGAAAGGGCGGCAGATATTTCGGCCTGAGGTCAAGGTTCACAAGATCTATAGCACGGAACTTTGGTTCCAAAGCCTTGTGCGAGCTTTCTGTGACTGGGCAGGGAGAGGGCACAGACGTGGGCGGAGGGACCTGGGCCAGCTGTCTGGCCTAGAACACGCAGCTTCTCTTTCCTGGTTGTACTGAGGTAATGACAGTATAACCACCTCCATGGGGCCACACTGAGGTGGACACTGTGTAGACGGCACTGAAATAACAAGCACACCCTCGCGTGTTCAATCACTCGGCACACACGTCTGCTGGGTTCCTAGAATATGCCGGGCAGGTCCTGCCCTGCCTGTTCATGTTGGAGTCACACACGAAGGGGAAGCAATTCAGCTGCTCTCGGATGACCTATGCTTCTAGAAACAAGGGCACGGAGGTACGTCCATACGACCACCTAAGGACCCACCTCCGACCACGGGACGTGCAGGAAGGCTCTCCCAAGTGCATCCTGAACAACACAAGTTTGAAACCATTTTGCTAGAATGGAAACCTTCTCTGCAGAACCTCCACATCTGAGTGTCTCCAGGGGTTTGGACGACCTGTGGTTCCCACTTCACAGATGAGGCGCTTGAGGCCCAGAGCACCTGCCCCAGTGGGCCAGCGTGGGGCCAGGATGGACCCCAGGAAGGTGCTGGCCCCTGCTGCATACTGGGGGCACTTTGGAGGGACAAGGGTCTCCCCGTCCCCAGTCGCTCTCAGGACCAGCAGACTTGTTCACAGCCAAAGGCATCCAGGCCCGGATAACACTCTTTTATACTAGGTGGTCAGCTCTTATCTGTGTAGGTACTCCAAGTCTCCCTGCAAAGACAGGTGAGGGCACGGAGCATGGGAGGATGCCAACCGCAGGGGCCCCTGCCACACGGGCGCTCCTGCCAAGCTGGTGAACACCCTCCCCGAGTCCCCATCGAGTGAGAGACAGGGGAACAGTCTACACCGAGTTTTAATCTTCTCCCAGGTCAAAGGCCCAGCACTAGTTCTATGGACGGGGAAATAAGCCAGCTACATAGTTTTCCTGATTCTAGGTGATGTAACATCTAGGACATAAAAACGGTACTTTAAAGTTATCTCAAGCAAAGAACTGGGTTTAAAAAAATGAGCAAAAAAGAACTATGTGCTCAGACCTCTAAAGAACTTGCTTGATGATAAAAACCATGCACTACTGGCAAGGGGGAAGGTGCTTTGTTTTTAGATGCATGCGAGGGAGGAGTCCCGCGCTGGCCCATGCTCTCCCACACATCTGCCCCCTGGTATCGGAACACGTACAGAGGCCCCAGGGCCCTGCTGAGCACCTCCAGGCCCCGTCCCCTCATTATGTCGGGGGGAGGGGGTGCTGAGGAGCTTGCAGACCCGCTCAGTCCTGCAGCTGCTGAGGGGATTGCAAGAGCTCCATCCGGCTCCAACTCTGGTCTCAGCCAAGAGCCTGGGCCCCCACCTAACTAAGCCCTTTCACCCCACAGCTCTGGCTGAAACTGCCCAGCCCCTTGCTAAAGCTGCAGCCATGTTCGTTTCTGATGGGTGAAATCGCTGATGCTGCAACCACTCAGCTGGAGTTGCAGGAGGACTCTGCCCCCTCTTCGGGCAGCCAGTGCCCATGCACGTTCCGCTAGGTGCCTGGAGATCCGGGCACAGATCGCTCCCCAGCCGTGCCCACAGGCTTTCCCCCCTTTTTTCCTCAAACAGAATGTACTCTAAATCAACTGGCTTTCTTTAACAAACTAAAAGATGATGTTCCCGGAGCCTTGGTGAAGGGTTGCACTCTTTATTCTTGCTTCTCCTCGGAAATAAACAGCTGAACACGTCACGTGTGAATGCCAGTTTTGTTTTTTTCCTGCAGACATGAAGTCATTCAGCATCCGGTCTCTGGGCTAATGAAATCCTATTTCAGGCTAGCAACATAGGCCAAAACAAATGCTTGAATTCAAGTCCTGTTGTGTAATGAGGAAGTTTAATTAAGGCCCCACATTACCGCTGTAAATGTTCCTTTATATAATAAGGTCTAAATGAAACTGAACCTAATCAAAGTTACAATTCCTTCATTAGCAAATTACAAACAAGAGCGAGCAGCTGACACGCGGGCTATGATTATCACAACTAATTGCCTCGTTGTCGCAGACCAGCCTGAAACAGTGTTCAGATGTCCGTCTGCGAGAGCAAATTAGGGCCACGCCGGGCCATCCCCGTGATCACAAGGGGCTCTTGTACAGCGATCTGATTTACCCCTGTCGCCTGGCGGCCAGCAGCCCAATCAAAGCTGCGCTCCAAAGGCAGCCTTTGAAGCCAGCGCTGCCTGGAAGCACACTCCATACGCAAGCGGGCAGACTGCACTTCATTAGGTCTGTTTGTCACATTTCCTCTTCTTATTCTAATGATCCTATTTTAATACTCATAGGAACCTCTTCTAATTGATGTCAAGTGAGTGACTTCTACATTCATCAACAGAGCACATCAAACAAACCCTGGCGCCGGAGGAGAGAGCATCTTCTCAGCCGACCCGAGGTGTGTGGCCAGCGCCGGGCAGGGAGGGGACCGTGTACCTGTTTAATTGGGATGGCTCGGCCGCTCCCGATGCTGTCCGCACGGCTCTCCAGGCCTTTCTTCTCTTTGTCTGGGTCACTCCCTTTCCGAGACTGCAAAGCAAAGCAAAGTTAGCATTTGGGGAAGGGCCGAGCTAATGGATGTGCTTTTCCCTTCTGCATGCTCCCTATGGACCCGGATGTAGGCGCCACGCCTGGTACGTGTGTGTGTTGTGTGTGCGCGCACGCACACTCAGACCCCAGGCCGCTCATCCGCACGGACACATTGATCTACAGAGAATGTTCTAAACTTTCCTCTAGACTTTCCCACTGCAAAATTATCTTTTAATCCCTTTTTAAAGAGTTCAAAATTCAATTACTAGAAACCAATGGACCATCTAAGGAAGTAACACCCAACAAGATCACACGCTGGAAAGCAGCAGTTAGCAGAGATGAGAAGGAAAGGGCCTCGCTGCTTGTTTCAAAAACTGACTACATAAATGTATATATATTTAATTAATGTCTGAATGATTTAAAAAATTCTATTACTAGTCAACTGTGTGGGCTCATGGCACACCCCTGAATACTATCAAGGTGTGGGTAATGTTTCTTTTTATTGCTTCTGGATGGTTGGAACACAGCGATTTCAGAGGTAAGTTAGTGTAGCATGCCACGAGTAACCGAGGGGAAAAATACTAAAAATCTCCTTCAACAGAACGTCAGTGTTCGGGGCACCGTGAGCAGCTCTGTTTCTGTGCCAAGTTCACAAGCCAATTCTCTTCAAGGGTATCAAGAGAACCACTCGGGCTGGTGGCTGGAGGGCCCGAGAGGGGCCCGTGCGTGACCCAGCGAAGCCAACCCGAGGCACACCTGGACCTGGCCGCAGCGTGCCACAGTGCAAGTCCCCATCTCCTGATGGCGTGAGCAAGTGTGAGCAGGATGATTTTCTGACAGATTTATTTTATTATGAGAGAAAGATCTGAGACTCGTCCTCCTTAATAACGGTGCTGACAAGTGACAACTTCACTCCATTACTTTTCAATGGGAACATTACTCACGCAATATTGAAAATGGAGAAACATTTTCATGTGCTTTTCAAATCTGAGATGATATATGAAATGGATAGATTTGGTGGTGTCCAGGGCTGCAGAGAACAGCTGATGAAATCCAGTTTCAAAGCAATGTGGGATGGAGCAGCTGGTTTTTAAAGACACTACTGGGAAGGGACGATGTCACAGGATGGGAGGAAGCAAGGACTCATGGACAGGCTTGGGATTCCGGGCAGTCACAGTCCAAAAGAGGACGGAGGCCAGGGAAGGCTCCCGTGGGCTGCTGCCAGTTAGGAACCGGGTTTCTTAGGTGATGATAAGCACTCACAATTTCAGATCATCTGCTATGTGGCAGGCACCACGTACCTTCTGTACTTAGGGTGATAAAAACTTGGAAGAAGATGACAGGAAATGGAACAAGGAACCAATGGGAAGTTGCTACCGTATAAAACAAAAAGTGTATCCCTTTGAGCTAGGAGGCAAGTAGAGATATTTACCAATTCTTCATCCTGAATTTTGGCTTCAGTCTGGGGATTTGCTTTTCTCTTTAATTAATTCTTACTAACATACAGCCAGAGCTGTGTATAGCCTTAAATTCTCCTGTGCCATAGTTCCTCGGAAAGTTGGCACTTGAGGTTTTCAGCTGTAAAATAAACGTCAGCTCACAGGGATACAGTTAAAAAAAAATTAAATCAATAAAGACCATCAATAATACTCTGGGAATTTCATGAATTCTAACTTTCTACATCTGGAGATCCATCTTCATTATTCTCTATTAACCAGAATAATTAACAAAACAAATATTTTTAAAAGTTAACATCTTCCCCAAGGCAGCACATCTGTCCCCACAGCCGCCCTGTTCTCAGAGCAGGATTTGGATTCCACCAGAAGCAGGAAGAAAAGGCCAATGGCACTCCTGCATACAACTCAGAATGTAAACTGTGAAGACTCAAACCAGGCACGGGATGCAGGCCCATAACCCAGCGCTCTGGGAGGCTGAGGCAGGAGGATCCAAGTTCAAGCCCAGCCTGGGCAGCTGAGTGAGACCCTGCCTGATAATAACAAATAAATGAATGGGCTGGGGACATAGCTCAGTGCAAGGGCCCTGGGTTCGATCCCTAGTGCTGGAAAGAAAAAGAAAAGAAAAGGTTAACTCATTATCCAATCACGAATTAAGCAATGAATGAAAGTGAAACTGAGGTGAGACTTCTTTGCAAAAATAAAACAAAATTTCCCAACTATAACATCCTGATGGAAAGAGTCACGAAAATAAAGTTTTGAGTGAGAGCAGAGGCAAAGAGGAAAGATTTGCTGTAACTTGGCTCTACAACTGCTCTGCCCTCAAGTTGCCTGGATACAACTGAAAGCCAACAACTAAACTAAGTCCAGGGACATACAACACCACAGCACACGTAAATCCCCGGTGAGGTCTCCTTATTTTCCTGTCCATTTTTGAGACTACACATTGCTGGTGCCCACTTGTGTATCAGGAGTGACCATGACCTGCGTTCAGCCTAGTGCCCACTCCCAGAAAACAGGTGGGGTTATCTCACCTGTCTCACAGGCCCGGGACTTAAACCCATGCTAGCGAGACTGCTCAGCCTCCAGGAACACCAGTACAGAGGAAAGGAAGGCTGAGGAAATCTAACGTCACCTGCTGCTTTACAGAAATGCTCACCTTCCCTCCACAAGGTGGAAGAAGCCGTGAAGAGAGACTTCCATCGGTACCTGCACCCAGGACAGCAGCATCGCTGGCAAGAGCCCTCCAGACCCAGCAGAAACCTGCTTTCTCCTTTCCCAGCAAGGAAAGGGCCAGCAGAACCTACCACATCCAGGCTCTCTCATTCAGGCAATTCTATTTATACTACCAACTTCACTGTCTTCTTTTTTCCAGGGAGTTTCTATGAGTCAGTCAATGCTTGGCGCAATGTATAGGTACTGGTATGCTTCACTCCACTTAATGGCCTCAGCATGAATGGCAAGCTTTGAAAACATCATGTCAGTGACACCACTGCTGACCAGCTTGCAGACAGGCAAAACAACGCAGCATACGAGGTAAGGATGTATGCGCTGAAGGCGGGAACACAGATAATATGCACGAAGCCCAGAGGGACGTCCACGCCTGGAAGAGACAGGCAGGAGAGGACCTCTGAGACAGCTTCCATTTCTGCTTCTGATTTGCTTATTTCTTGGAAGGGCAGCGGCAGTGGCAGCAGAAAAAGGTCTGTATTTGAGGAGCTGTGTGGTGAGTACACATGATTTTTGTTTCCTTTATGTTTGAAAATATTTTCCAATAACATAGCTCAACTAACATGTAAATCGGCGCTACTAAACTGTTGTAAGAATCAGTATCACAAAACCAGGGATTAAATGCACAGTCTTCTAATGTTTGTTTTCTCAAAACACTGTTTTTTTTCCCCAAAGAAGCAGAATAAGATAGACTTTAATGTTTCATCAGGGAAGTGTAATTCCTACTGTAAGGGTGACACATAATTTGCCACTATTAGAAAAATTTTAAGTTTATAGAATTTCACATAAAGTACATACGATCTATTTGTTTAAAAATACGTGTATATGGGCTGGGGATTTAGCTCAGTGGTTTCGCCGCCTGCTGCGCAAGCGCAAGGACCCGAGTTCGATCCCCAGTACCAAAAAATAAAAAATAAAAATAAAAAATAAAAATACGTGTATATGCAAATGGCAACATCTGGGAGAAAAAGTTAGCCCGGAGTGGTACATTATCGTTACAGGTCTAGTTTATAAAATGTGCAGGAATGGTACTGAGAAATGGTGTGTGTACTACTCAACTAACTATGGCCCCTGCGTCACACCCTAATAAACGAGGTGGACAGCTCTCCTCCCCTTGTGTGTTACAGACCCTGGCTGGATGTATCATTACCCGCTGAGACTGTTCCCGTACAGATATCTCGCCCCCTCCTGCTGGACACTGTGGAATAAATACACGCTCTGGCAACTGAAGCCCAAGATCACTGACCACCCCGGGGAACAGGACTCGAAGGAATTTTACCTATTTGAGAATAGAAGCACACTGGTAACAATAAGAATTGAGTTTCTTAATTGCTTCAATTTCAAAATTAATTTGCCTTCTTTTCATCCCGTGGATGACACTGACATCTAGTGGAGCTAACAGCCCAGGATCCTCACCTCGGAACACACGGCTCACACATCACCTTCACCACCGCCACCAGCAGCATCCAGCAGCGACCTGCGAGCCCCGGGCCTGGGATTTCAGCTGACCTTTCCTGTTCAGGCCCACCGGTCCATTACCTTCTTTCCTCAGCCCAGATTTCTGTTCCCACTGCTAACAGTTGGGCAGCTGTATTCAATGTTTAAAACGGTTTATTCTCAAACTCTTTTCTGCCATCAGTGGAAGAGCAAGCGCTGGTAACGCAGATTCACAGGCCGCTGCTGCATGGACTAGGGCATAATTAACGGTGATAGTCGCTGGAACAGTGGGTTTTCATCAGCTCCTGCACCTGCCCCACCTGCCTGTCACTGGCTTCCTGGATACCTCTGTGTGCACGCATGTGTGAGCTTGCCCAAGAGGCTTCAAGCAGCTGGAAGTGGCTCTGCCCTCACAGTCCCCTCCCCGTGCACTCTGCAGAACCCCTCACTTTGGTGCCACCCACTTTCTCGTCATTATGGCTGACTCTGGCCACCAACATTCCTCCTCCTCACTGTGCAAAACCAGCGCTCTGCAGCGAGCAGATGTTAAGTAAATATTTATTCTCGGAGTTATTATTCTCATGCTTCCTGCCTGCAAAGGAAGTGTTCAACACCGGCCATCCGGGTGGGCGGTTATCTGGTGTCAGGCTCCAGGACATGATCTTGTGGCACATTTCGACTCCCAAGCTGCCCTTGCAGCAGGGGGTGGGTGGGGGGAGGTGGCGGTGGTCTTCTTATAAAGAGCCTATCTAAAAAGATAATTCCCATTTGTTCTTTATTTCCTTCATAGACTAGAAACCAGCCAATGAGCAGCAAAACTGGCTCTGGGCAGGTGCCGGAGGCGGCTGGCCTCTCCCTTGCATGACAAGCGCAGAAGCTGTTGCTGAGCCCTCCACTGCCCACTGTGCTAGCGCCCCCTCAAGGCTGCCTTCTGGGGCCCAGCTGCAGCTTCAACAGCTGGCTTCCTAGGCCCACTGGGTCAGAGCAAGTGTGCATGTGCGAGTGCGTGCGTGTGTGTGTGCACGGGTGCGCGTGGGGGGGGCCTTCTGCACCACGGGCCCCACCTAGGGTATACAGCAGCCTTTCAGGTGTCTGACGGACCTAGAGGTAGCTGTGTAGGTGGCTTCTGCAATCCACATGTCTGAAGGAATTTTACCGTAAAGCATCTTCATCACGTACCATTTAAGCAGATTAGATACACATCTGAATCATGCTGCCAAAACACCTCCCTCCCATCTACCTGATGGTCCTACACCTGCTTGTGCTCAACACTCCCAGAAGTGACATTTGCAATGTTACTGGCGGTGAGAAATAAAAGCAAGGCTGCAAAGGCTGCTCTGACACCTCCTGCAGAGATGCTCCTGTCCCCTGCTCAGCAAGGGGCAGTCGGTGCTGGAGGTGGAGCAGCCACCAGCAGCAGAGGCAGGGTCTGGGCCTGGTCTGTCTGACTGGTCCACACTTGGCCCCAGCAGCAGCATCTGCCAGAGCTGGATGGCACAGGCTACTGGCAGAGCAAGGGGAGGGGCAGGAGGGGATGTGCCGTTGGCAGTAGGCCCTGGCAGCAGCAACCACCTGTCAGGTGGAGCTGCCACAAACACAGCACGGGAGGGTGGGGCATCTGCCAGACCTGGTGGGACCCTCAGCATGGAGACAGCCGTCCTCAACCAGGGCAGACCAGAGAGGGGATTTCAAGCTACCCCTGGCAGGTCATCCTTCATTCACAAGAGGAAATACCACATTTCCCTGTGTCTAAGTCAGCTGCAGTCCACCAGAAGGAGAGGCCTGAAGGTTCTGAGCAGGCACCCCTGGCATCTGGGCTGGAGCGTTCTTTGTGGCTGTGTGCTCCAGGAAGCTTGCAGTAGCTCTGGCCACTGCCCATCACTGCATGCCCATGGTACCTTACCCCTGACCACAGTGTGACAACCCCAAATGTTCCTGGGGAGCAAAACCATGCTGGCAGAGAAACACAGGCCTCAAAGTGTGCAATGTGCAGCACCAGTAGAGGGAGAACTGTCCACATCACAGGACAGCACTTCCGCTTGGCGTTCTGGGCTCAACTGCAAAGCCTTCCATGCACGATTGGTGATGTCTGCTCTGTGCAGGAGGAAGGCACAGGGGAACAGCTCTTGGACCTCTTCTGTAGCTCGGGGATTTCTGCATCTCAATCGCCGTGGGAGCTCTTAACAACTACACATGCCGGGGCCCCAGGGGCAGAGTTGAGCGTCTCAATTTTAGCCCAGACGTCTGATTGTCAATTTGAAAATGTTCTCCAGGTAACTCTGGAGAAAGCCGCAGAGGGGAATCCATGCCAGTGAAGCCCCTAGGAACCGGGGCTGTGGTGCCACCAGGCAGGGCCACCCAGCCCCACCACCAGCTGCTGAACAGAACCAAGAGCTCCTATTCCGTCTGAAGTGGGGTGTGCAGTTTGCCATCTCTGTCTCTCTCTCTCTTTTTTGGTACCAGGAACTGAACTCAAGACCTTGCATTGCCAGGCAGGCGGGCCCCCACTGAGCCCATCCCCAGCCCCATGTTGTATCTTTATAGCCCATGCAGAGTCGCTGAGGTGGACAGCAGGAAGGTCAGAGGAGGAGCAGCACCTTTACTCAGATCGTGTGCGCTCCGCCTCTGACACCCTCATCACCACTCCCCACCCTGAGCAGTTCCACTTAGCAGCTACATCCTTGGTCCTCCTCATTTTCTGCGACTTCCCTGGAAATCAAGGCAATTCTCCTTCATTTAGGTTGGATTGTACAGCTATCCCTGGGCTATCTCAGGACCGCATCAAGTGGAAGCGGAATCCTTCAGGCTCTCGCTCGCATGCCTTCCCAGGGCTGACACTCACCGTGAAAAGGTTGGACCGGCGCTTGGACTGTTTCCGCACGGGCGTCGGGGTGTTGGCAGTGGCGGGGACATCGATGCGGAGTTCCTTCTGGCTGGTGCTCGGAGTGGATGGGACAGAGGAGGAGTAGTCGCTTAAACTCCCGCCTCCATTGCTCGTCTATAATGATGCAAACCACAGTTTTATTAATGACACACCCCTGCCTGGAGTCCAGAGTCAGCCCCAAGTGGGGTGACAACCAACAAGTTAGCAGGTCACACGACGGGGAGGGGAGGAATGTGGGACAGCGGGGCGGCTTCTCTGGCTCTGTGCGTGGCTATCAGCGGTCTTATCCCAGTACAGCACCATCTCATAGCAGTGTTTTGTCTGAGAACAAGGACCTAGTGGGGAAAAGTCTCTGCCACTTAAATGTTCTAAGGGTTAAACATACAGCTATTTTTTTTTTCCTCTGCAAAACAAAACGGTTGCTTTAGTTCTTATGGTTCTGTGGTTCCTTCACTGTTCTACAACAGACCCAGGCCTGACAGCTTCATCCGGCCAGAACCACAACTAATTCTGAAAACTTTCTCTGGAAATCAAAGAAAGTGTGTGCTGCGGTGAAAAAAAATGGTCACGTTTCACAGAAAAGTTAAAGATGCCAGCAGTGAAGCTGCCCACGCTGGTGACTGTGGTGGCAGGGCCTGGGGACAAACGCAGCCACACAACGCCTTCCAGGGCGCACACAGGTGTGAGAGCCAGCCTTCTCCCCGCACCCTTCGGGGACAAAGTGCCGACAGAGTACTCGCCTGAGAACATCAGTCAACAAACAAGGACAGGCAAAACAAAGCCAGCAGTTTCCTCAATAGCTTCTGGTTGGGCTCTACAAAGTGACAATTATATCATTTGCTTCTGAGTAAATAATTTAGCAAAATGTTGCTATGGAAAGATCATGGTTTCTACAGGGCCTAAGGGAGATGGTAATTATAAATGAATGCTGCTACCGAATTTAAGCATAAAATGGGCTTCACCATTAAGATTTACTCACAACTGTTCAACCTACAAGCAGACCAGAGCAGGTGATTTCAATCAAGAGCAGAGACAGCGGCACACACCTGGCCCTGCCCCTGAACCAGCATGCATCACAGCACAGGCAGCGCGGAGACAGAAAACATTAAAGAACAATACCCATGAAAACCACTTGGCCACCGAAGTTTCTGAAGGACATGTGAAGTCAATTACAAACATGCTGTTATTTATAAAGTCGAAAAAAAAAAATAAACCAGCGTGAGCACTGGCAGAGAGCACCGCCTGGCTCTCGGAGGTCCTAGGGTCCTTGTGCCCGCCCCTCAGGTGGCCGGACCTACCTGGCTCATGTGCACCGCCGACACCTGTGCAGAGCAGACTGAGGAGTGGCTGGGAGAGTTCGGCAGGGACTTGCAGGGGCCTATGGACAGCTGCTGCTTCTTCCTCGTGGCTACGATCTTCTGGGCCACTGGTGACAGAGACAAAGGAAATCAACGTGCAGCCGGTTTCCTGATGATGGAAGGATAAATCACGGAACCGGAAGTGATCCCTGAGATCACTCTTTCCTTCCTCCGCAATGAGTTTTAGTGGGCACCTGAATACCTGTCACATTCCCCAGAGTGCCTCTCGTCCCCAGCTACATGTGGCTCTGCAAGGTGCTCTGGTCTATGGGACAAGACTAGATGGAAAGGCCACGCGGCAGCCTGGACTCTTCCTCCAGGGCAAGCTGTCTCCTGCCCCTTTCTTCCTGGTTTCTTCCCGGCACCTGCCCAAAATGCATAAACGTGTCTGTTGCCCCAGGAGCCATCTGGGACAGTGAGGTGACATGGGGAGTGGAAGTCACACGTGGTGAAGCAGGACACAGAAGGAATAGGTTTGGGAGGACCACACCCAACACCCTGCACATGGTCCTTAGAAAAGTACGTTTTCCAGTTACATGGAGCACAAACAACCCTAACTACAACAGGGAAATTTAAACCCCTGTGAAAGCCAAAATCCTTTTATTTATTTATTCATTCATTTATTTACTTATGCACTGCCTAAAAAATTATTCTTTACAAGCTATGGTGCAGAATTATACTCAAGCACAAGTAATTATATCAAAGAGCTTTTTGTTATTTAAACATATTACCACACACACCGGAAGTTTATCTTAATCAATACAAATCTAAATTCAACCAGCCATAACTTCTCCTGGCAAATAGGCTCCCTGATAAAGCATACTGAATTTAATTGGGAAGAAAGTCAACGATTAGAAAACTCTTCCTACACCAGTAGGAGTCACTACAGGAGAATAGCTACAGCTTTTACTGGAATGGATGCGTGTCTTTGGGGAGTAGCTGTAATGAAGTTCGGAGATATTCGATCTCGTCTTTGTCCAGGGTGTCGCTGCTTCCAGAGATGGCCAGGAGAAGGGCCCATCACCTCTCCCTGACCAGAGGTTGTAATGCAGAGGGAGCCCATGGTGCTCGGATAATTTCTTTTCCAAATGAATACAATTTTAATAAGGAACTGATGTGTCCACAGCTTATGGTTCTCATGTAAATGAATGATAGTGTAGATATGATTAAGTGAAAATGCAATATATAAAAAATGGCTCCCAGAGATGAAGAAGCAGCTTCATTAGTTACATCCCACCTCCAATAGGCTCCTTATCATCCTGAAAGGATGATATCAATTAATGTATCTTCTCGTAGAGTATTGATCATAACCTTCATCAGCTAATCATGTTTAAATTACAGAGGAATATTGCGGCACTCTGTCATTTCACAACCATTGGCATATCGATTGGGGGTCTTTGAAGACATATATTAGAATATTTTAAAAATCATTACATGAACTCAAAAATAAAATCTAAGATCAGATTCCAAGAGCTGCAAAACATGTCCTACAGGTGTACTGAAATCCCAAACACTAAAAGTAAATTAGGTTAAAATCACCATTACCTGCGTTGCTAATTTCTTTCTTTTTTAGAAAAACAACAAAAAGGGTTTTTGATTATCAACCACTCTGCATTTTGCTTGTGCTGCCAACTACAGTTCAGAAACACATAAATGCCCAAATCACAAAGAACAGGGTGCGGGACTGGAGAGCTACATGAACATTTCCTACACATGCACTCCATACACAGCTAAGAGCTGAGAAACTTTCTAAGACAAGTCAGATACATTATTTAAGCCTTTTATAAAATTCCAAGTGCAAAGAAATGCTGTCCTTGAGCACAGAATTTTCCCAGCCAAACCTCTGGACTCCCGTGAACACGGCACAAGCCACATGCTAAGTACTACAATATTGTCCTTATATTCACTGCTCTAGCACATTAATCTCATACACACACACACACACACACATGCACACACACACAAATGAAGTCACAGCATTAGTAAGTGGTAGCATTTTTTTTTCAGGACTGGGGATGGGGATCGAACTCAGGACCTTGTGCTTTGAGGCAGGTGCTAGCACCACACTGAGCTACATCCCTGGCCCTAGTGGTAGCATTTTAAAAAAACTTTTCCAATTCTTTCTTGTATTTGTCCTATTTCTCCATTATTTTAAAGCCCTGTTACGCAAGCGAAAAACTGATTCACAGCTATTTTGCTCTAAATGTAGAGGCTGCTTCAGAACTACATGGGCCAATGCAGAAGAACAGGGGAGAATGGATTCCCTGAAGATCAGGGAAGGGGGAAGAGGTCAGCCAGAAGGAGAGGGGAGCTGGGCCTCCTCTGAGCAGGCGGAAGCTGGCTCTCCAGGCAGCTGCACCGAGCAAGGCCCACACGGTTGCCCTGTGCTGCTGCTGCTGTAACTGCTTTGTTCCCGGGCAGGCGCAGCACGAGGGGCCCTTGCTGAGATGTCCCTAAAGCACTGTTCGGGTGCACAAAGGCCAAAGGGACAACTGCCACCCGAGCAGGCACAGGTCCACACCTCACAGGCCTGTAGAAGGGCCCCCAAGGCCAGCTGTGAGGAGATGGCATGGGGGAATCACCCGGAGCTCGCAGTGTTCACATTTATTTAAATGATGGTAGGGTGAAACCATGAATATCATCTCAGGGTACTAAAGCTGGCCCATAGTAATAACCACTGAGTTTTTGTCTGTATTTGGTTCATCAATAAACGAGTGCCTCATATCTTATATCAATACATGTGTGCCTTTTTTCTCAGTACTAGGAGTAGGGACTGAACCCGAGGACTTCAGACTGAGCCACAACGCTGGCCCTTTGCCTTATTTGATTGATTGATTGATTGGTACCGGGGATCGAACTCTGGTCCTTGCGCTTGGGAGGCAGGCAGCGGAACCACTGAGCTAAATCCCCGGCCATGCCTTATTTTTTAAATTTTGACATAGGGTTTTGCTAAGTTACCCAGGCTGGGCTACAACTTGTGATCCTCCTGCCTCAGCCTTCTAGTGCTGGAATTACAGGCGTGCACCACCAGGCCCAGCTCATCTGTGACGTACTGACTGATACATCACTTACGTGTCTCATGGAAACGTGTGTATAAAAAACTTTGTATGATTTGCCACAAGCGTAGCCCCCTCTGCAGCAGCAGCATCATCAGCAGGGATGAAAGGCAAGGGGCCCTTTGCCATCTACGGCCCTTTCCTCACCTCCCCAGAGGTGCTGCTCAGGGTTGTTTAAAGCCACTTCAAGTCTGCCTGGGTCCTGCGCATGATCGCACTGCAGGTGGCTCACAGCAGGCAGCCATGGGCAGGGTGGGAGGCAGAGCCTCGTGCCCCAGGAAGCAGCACGGCTCATGGATCCTGCCTGACCTGTGATACTTTGGACTGTTTAAAGCCGGGGAAAGCTTTTGTGCACATATTTCCCTTCTTGAACTAAAGAGTGGGACCTTAACCTGGAAAGGAGTTACGTATGTACTTCAAGCAGCACTCTTAGGGCTGTGTCTCGATGTCCCCCTAAAGCCTCACGCTGTCACAGGCGGGCCTTGTTGGAAGAGGATGGATCTAGGGTGTGTGACACTGGGACTGATTCACTGGGCAAGGCTGGGATCCAGGTGTGAGTGCTGCCTACCCTACGGGCAGGGAGCCCGGCTAAGAAATATGGGTCAGAAAGAGCTGTGGCTGTGGCTTGTTGCCTGGTATTTGCCAGCTGCTTTGCCAAGAACTTGCTCCTTTGCGATGCCCCTCTGCCCTGCCACCCTGCCCTGGAGCCCAACTATGAACTGAAACCTCTACAAACTGAGCTAAATAAACCTTTCCTCCTTTAACTCTGGTGTCGAGTATTTTGACTCAGCAATTGAAAAGTAACTAAGACAGTAACTTACCCTTTACTTAGGGGTAAAAATACTACATCCTGAGCAACATCTGGTTTCTATTATCATACTGTTTTAGGGTTGGCAGCTTCTCCATCTAGGGCCCTGCTCCTCTCCCCTGAGGATCAAAGACTGGCTGGGGCGGGTGGTCTGTGAGCTCATTTCAGCCTCGAAATCCATTTCACAAATAAGAACAAGGCAGGCAGGACAGCAGCCTGGCCCTGTGATTGCTCAGGACCCCAGCACACAGCAGCAATCACCCAGCTTCCAGGTCAAGGACCATGGACCCTTCTGCCCACACCTTCCCTTTTACTTACACAGGGACAGAAGGGGCTGAGCTTGGCACCTGGCACAGGGGAGCTGCTGTCCAGTGCTCCCTTATCTAACTGCGCCAGGCCTTCAGCAGGTGTGTGCCCGCCTCCCGAGGGAACCTTCCATCCCCTGCCCCTGGCTGAGCCTGCTCATAAGGAGCCTGGGGTCACGGGTGGCCACCAGGAGGCTGGGTCCCATGCTCCTACCTGGGCTCTGGGCACCCCCCAGCATGGCTGGTCTCTCCCTCCTCTCGTGTCTGTCCTCAGGCTTCCCTGGGGTTCCCTCTACTGGAAACTCCTGGCCCTCCTTTGTGGGCTTTTCTAAACTGAGTGCCTTGTGGGACTGCAACTCAGCCCCTTCTCCTCCCCAGGGAAGCTTCTCCATGCTCAGGGTTCATCGCCACCTCCATGCCAATAGCCCCTGAGGGAAACAGTTGGGTTGTGCACACCCCTGGGGCCTCCTGAATTCTAGAACTGTGCCTCCAACGGCCATCAACTGCTCCCAGAGGCATGGGAGTCCATGCTGCCTCACCTGGGCTGCATGTCTCTCAAAGCTGCTTCTCCTCCACACTCCAGCTCAGTGATGCACACCCTGCCCCATTTCTAGGCATGGGCAGGGGAGGCCTAGCAGATGCTGGTTCTGCCACCAGAACTCCCCCAAGTCCATCCCTACTGCTGTGACTTTGACTAGGAAGGGCACCACCGAAGGGCCACAGTCGGATCAATGCAGAGACATGGCTGGCACCCGGCAGGCCAAAGCGGAGGATGCCAGCACCTCTGGCAAAGGGCCAGGAGCACTGTCAGATCAGAGTCTCGAGGTAAGTCTAGCAAACTAATCCTGTAAGTGCTTACAGCAGATGGACTTGTCAAAACCAACTGGCCTCAGCTCAACCCTCATGTGTCCCACAAAAATATTGTAAAGGCACAGTGCACGGAGCCGGGAGTCCCTGCACCCCGGACCCCAAGGCCAGAGCAGTGCCCTCCTGGGACCACCAGTGCTCACCTGCAGGAACCCTGTGAAGGGCGGGGGCTGCCCAGGACTGTAAATCTTCCAGGAATAAATAGAGGCCCCCGGTGTCCCCACTCAGTTTTAAATTATAGCAGAGTGATCATTAAATGTGCTTATTAATTAAGAAGAAATTAATTACCAAATTATCTATGTAGTTTGGAATGTGTGACTCAGGAGTGAAAAAGAAATCTGAGGAAGCTGTTAAAAAATAAGTAAAATCAGAGCCCAAGCAGGAGGGGGCAGCGAGGCCATGTTCTCCAGGATTCAGGCCGTCAGGCTACACAACACGCTGCTCCATGGGGCCTGCAGAGCCAGGACTCGCTGCAGGGCCCAGCACCGCTCCCTGGCGGAGATCCTGCCCAGCTGTGTGGCCCCTGGAAAACACAGTCAGCGTGGGAGCCAGGGCAGTGGGCCGATACCATGGACCCGCGGATCACTGCCATCCTCCTGTAAGGGCATTGTGTGCCTGACCCTCACTGGGCGCATACCAACAGGCAGAGGAAGGGTGAGCTGAAGACAGATGCAATGAAGGGTCATGAGAAGGTAGGGAGAGAAAGCGCTGAAAGGGCCCCAGGAAACACTCCCTGACCCTTCCTGGGTACTGAGGATTGAGCCCGGGGCCTTCACACAGAGCCATATCCCAGCCCTTCAAAAATTCATTTATTTTCAGACAGGGTCTCACTAAGTTGCCAAGGCTGGGCCTGAATCTGTGGTCCTCTGGCCTCAGCTTCCAGAGTCCTGGGAGTATAGGCATGTGCCACAGCGGCGGGCAGGTATTTTGTTTTGAGACTTCCATATCTAAAATTGGTACTGATCTATCCTTCCATAGCACCAATGTTGGGCAGAGTACAGAATTCAAGGCTGATTTCACATCATCTGATGATCGGAGTTACCCAAAGGAGCTCTTAAGGGGTAACAAGCTCAGAGGTAGTTTTAGCTAAACCCCAATGGGGTCTCCCATGGTCACAGTGACCCCCTCTCCCAAGGTGAGGGGAACACTATCATTGTTCTAGAATTAGCTCTCATTTTTTTTTTTTTGGCCACCAACTTTAAAATCAGCTTTTGGGGCATGCCGGGGATGTAGCTCAGTGGCACCATTCCTGCCTGGCAAGCACAAGGTCCTGAATTCAATCCCCTGTAGCAAAAAAGGAACAGCTTTTGGGGGAGGCTGGGGGTACAGAGCAGCAATGGAGCACTTGCCTAACACACGTGAAGGGACTCGAGTTCTACCCCCAGGACTAAGAAAACCAACAAACAGCTCCTGGCTGTTTGTTCTCCCTGGGTTTGTCAGCGTATTTCCCTGGTTTGTCTGGTTGCAACCCAAGTCACCTTTTGCAGAGACCACTTTTACTGTCTCAAAACTGGGGTGCCCAGCCACGTCCGTGTTACATCGAACAAGCTATAAATCATTAGAATAATTTTCCAGGGAGAACAAACACAAATGAAAAAGGTAAGGCATTCACAACTGAACACATCACCAGGTCATTAAGAGAACAGCTGTAATAGCCCGCTACCCGGTAATCAAAGCACAAACGATGATTGACTGTGATCGATTGATCAGCTGTGTGTATCCCCCCCACCCTCCTTCCTTTTTTTGCTGGGGATCAAACCAAGGGCCTTGTGCATGCTAGGCAAATGCTCTACCCCTGAGGTATTCCCCCAGTCTCACCAATATTTCTGTCGTGGTTTTTCAAATACCCAATCTTTAAGCCAGGACAGGCTGCGGTGAAAAAGCCAAGCTTTCGCGAAACCTTCATGTTTTTCCCAAAGTAATGGAGTGAATTCTTAATCCGAGATTCAGTTCTTGTCTGTATTCTTTTTATCTCATTGTATTAAAACAAATTTATCTTCATTTATGTCGCAATTACCTATTAGGGTTGTTAATTTACTGGAAATGAAGCTATTGTTTAATTGCTCCTATTAATCGGGGGATTTAAATGCCGACTGTAATAAACAGTTACCTTCAGGAAGAGCAAAGTCAAGGCTGCTAACATTAATTTCAGAATTTTAGAATGAGGGGAAATTTCTACAGTGTCCAAGGCAGCTGGATTTCCTTTTCCATTTCAGACAAAAAGCATAAGAACATAAAATTTATTTTGAAAAGAAACTTGCACTGAAACAAATATGGCTTATGTGATATTTTTTGTATGTGTACATATATCTCTGATATACAGTTATTATTTGTGGCAAGGGGGACATCAAACCATGCTGTAGGAAAAGCACACTCCTCTCTCTCACATCTTCACAGCACAACAGTTCATTAAAATTCAGTCCCTAGATCGGGCTGCCAAAATGTGGGGCTGTGGATTGCCCCAGTCAGCCCAGCACTAGGTCAGTGGGCAGCAGAACCACAGTGCTGATTGTCCGCCAGGGTTCCACGGCCCCGAATGACTCAGATCCTATGTCCTGACCCCCAGGACCACGGACTTTCACTCCTCGAAAAAGTAAGGGTCAGCACTCCCTGATTTGGGATTGCTCTTCAGCTGGCTTTGTCCATGGCCAGTCAGCATGTGGGGCTCCTGCCCCACAGCGGCACGAACCCCAAACTCCTCCTGGGGAAGGAGGAAGGCACTGTTCCCACTGATACCCTCTGGAGTCACCTCCAACTTCGGATCTCAGGCCCCAGCCTGTCTTCCACACCAAAAGGACACCTGCTACATGGTCAGACTGGATATTCCAATGGCAATGAAGGCTGAAGGCACCACACACACACACACACACACACACACACACACACACACACACTCCTCACTGGTTAACACAACCCTCACCATGCATCCCTGTGCAGTTTAACTGGCTTTCTTGTCAGCGTATTTCCCTGGTGGAAAATGGTTATATCTTCTAGGTCTTCTACCATCCTTGGGGGCAAGGACTTCATTCATTCAAGCACAACTCTAGCCTGATGCACCAGTCGTATGACTGAAACCCTGTATCTCTGGCTCTATCTCTCTAGGCATTTATTGGGCCAAATGCTACGTTTAGAGTGCTGGTGGCTCCAGAATGCTCTTGGTCATGCAGCTGGTCCCAGAATGCTCTTGGTCATTCTCAGTCCCAGAATGTTCTCAGTCCCAGAATGCTCTTGGTCATGCTCTTAGTCCTGAAATACTCTGAACACTGATACTTGGCCCCAGAATATTCTTGGTTGCTCTTGGTCTGTGCCCGAATAGTTGAGCAAGCCTCCAAAGAGACCAGGCGAGCACCTATCCATTCTATGTTTAATACACACAGAGTTGGCGCCTTTCACCTTTTTCCCCACTGTGCTTCGTTGTGCAGCATCCCTCACTCGTTCACTGGTCCTCTCACTGTGTACCCGAGCACCTAGTACATGCCAGGTGACTTACGGGACATCGAGATCATGAAATCCTGAGGACTCTGGCTGACCACAATGCTCAGGACGCCTCACAGCCTTCTTGTCACAGCGTCCGACGGAAGACGCCTTCCACGTGGCTCTCCGGGACTTTGTTACTAAGGCCTCAGGAAGCAGCACTCACCAGTTTTGTCCCAGAAGCACGACCAAAACCCAAACCAACACCAAAACAAACCCCTCTCCCTCTCTTCACCTGTTTCAGAATTCTCCAGCTCATTCTGGCTCCTTCCCTGTCCAGTGTGTCAGACACTTTCCAACTGTGGGAGTAGAGTGCTACAAAGAAAAGCACAGGGAGGTGGAGCCAGGGCTGGGCGGTAGCGGGCTTCCTAGCACGTGTGTGACCCTGGGTTCCATGCCACGCATCCCCAAATAAATAACTAAACAAATAAATAGAGGAAGCCAGAGGGGACTATTGAGAAGTTACAGACATTGGAAAGCTAGAAGAATTTAAAGCAGGAAACATTCACATGGATGAATGAAATATGGGAAAAGTGCTACACCTGCAGAGCCAGCAATAACCAGCACACGATGATGAACAACATGGGACACTGGTGCGTGTGGCTACAGTGCCTGCTTCTAAACTGTGAGAAATCGGAGAGCTCAAAAGCGAGCAAGAAAGCTGCTGCTGGCCGCTGCTCACAGGCAGCACCCAAGCGTGTGCCCAGGGGGCAGGAAGTGCCTGAGGAAATCAGCGCACCCTGGGAAAAGATGTCCAAGAGAACCGGGCATCGCACTAGCAGGGCAGCTGCAGTGTGCTTGGTGTCAAGCCCAGGAGGAAAGCAGGTACAGAGCCCTGCACTCCTCCCGCGGGCTGGGTGGGGCTCGTGGCCTTAGACACAGGGGTCCTTCAGGCTCTCGCCTGCCCAGGAGCACAAGGGCTCCCGTGTCCACCTGCAACAGCAAGGGGAAGGCCGGGCACCACGCATCTCACTCCACGTCCAGCCAGCTCTCACTGCATTACTCTAGTTAATCGAACAACCACCAAAACGAGTGGGGGCGGTGCTTGAAGCGTTCGTGACAGGGTGCTGATTCCTGTGTCTCCATGCTAGGCGGCTTGAACCCCTGGGTTTTTACTTTTATTAGAAAAAACCGAAAGTGATTAGACGTGTTTTACCAATAGTGTACGCGCCATCCAGTGGAACGCTGTGTGTACACCAGGGTCAAACTACCAGGAACGTGTTAAAGGCAGCTAATGGAACTCAGGTTAATCTAAAAGAGAGAAGGAGATGCAAGAAGCATAAACTAAACTCCTTCAAAGAGAAAAGCATCCTGTTCTCACTGAAAGCCTCGAACAGGGAGCCGCCTATTCAAAGACACTGATTAGAAAACATGTAACATTTCAAACGCTACAATTAAACCCAGAGCAGATCATCTGTTCAAAAGGCCAGGAGATGATTAACTTTCTCTCTCACTTACTCTCAAGTTGGATGCAAATGAGATGC